TTAATTTTATGGCACTATCTGTGCCATTTTTATGCTTTCTCAGAAGTGTTAGGCCAGTTGGAAGCACCAAATATAACGTTTAAGAGAGTTGCCTGCATGCGTTTTTTTTTTTCTCACTAAAAATATGCGCACTTTTTTATGCAAATGCACAATGAAACATGAGAACACTTTTTAGGATATTGAACAATGGAACATTCATTCCAAGCACCCAGAGATATCCGCGCTTTCAACTGATGATGATGCTGCGATGTAAAAATACGAGAAAAAAAAAAACCCCGGCAGCTAGCAAAAATGCAGGTAGCAGATAAAACGCGCTCGCTGAAAATAAAAACCTTCCGCACCACAAGTAAATCATCAAACTGGATATCGATAAACAACGGTTCCACACAGGGGATCAAGATGAACCAGCTCCCAACAACCGGTGTTGCGCTTGAGACCTAGTCTGCTTAAAAATGGGTGAAATTTTTAGGCCACGGGTGCATACACTGATAATAAGCAGCCAGGGTGAATAGATTAAAATTCAATTCACCTCGTCCGAGATAATTTGTACAAGAACGGCATACATATGACGGAAAAAAAAAACGTGGACCAAAAGAAAAAAAAAAAACATATAACGTAAAAATTGCCAGCATAGTTCAAACGAGTCAAAAAATCAATCACGCAAATTACAGGTGAGAAAAAAAAATCCCAATGTAAGCTAAATTTTTCCACTAAACAACTGATGAGAACAAAAAACGGTTAATCAAAACGAAGCGTTATGCACTCTGAAAAAATGATGATAAAACGGATACACATTCAGTTCCCTGATACGAACAACAGCAACAAGCAGCAATACTGCGCTTTCGTGCTGCACGGTGGCAAGCAGGTACCATGGAACGCGTGCGGCGTATCACCAAAATCGCGCAATGTACCTGAATTCAGCTCACAGGTGCCTCTAAAGTGATAAGGTCAATAAAAAAGCAGCTTATGAAGCGCCTTTTTACAGCTTTGCCACTGCTGACCACCAACACTACCAGTGATTTGTGTTCCAGAAACGAATCCATAAAAAGAAAATACATTTTCTTGTTGTAAAAAAAT